TTCTGTTTTTGACCAAGAGGCGAAAGCAGGCTAGAGTGAATGGGCACAGGGGCTCGTCTCTTCCCTTTGAATACTTTTCAAGGTTTGGATAATTTGAATAGCTGTTGAAGAGAGTCAAAGCAGATGTGAAGTTTATAGTGAAAGAGTAGCCTTTCCTGGCATAATGGGCAGAAATGACAGAAGAGGCTGGTGCAGCATTTTCCAAGCTGGGAGTGAGAGTTCTGTGGGATGCACGTGACAGCCACAAGCTCTCAGCCTCCCCTGGCCAACGAAGATCGGGAAACTCTAGGGGAAAGCCGGTTCAATAGACTGCTAATTTGGTTTTTAATTGAGAGAATTCTCAGTCTTTAAAATGGGAGCAATTGATACACATTTCCCAGAAAGCTAAGGGTAGCATTCCCTAAATTTATTTAACCATGGTATTTTCTTTAAAAAAAATTTTTTTTCCAGGGTCTCAGGGGATTAAGATTTTCAGGAACACACTTAAGGAAATGCTGATATGATAGTTTTGACAGGATTCCTAACCCTCTATGACATTTCATTAAAAAAAAATATGAAGTTTTCTGGACTCCACCCCAGAATCTCTAGGAGAAGGGCCATTGCAACTGTATGTTTCAAAAGGCTCTGGTGGAGATTCTGCTCTGCAGCCAGAAGAATGGCTTTGGATTCAAGAAGACCTAGGTTCAAGTCCAAGCAGCACAGACATTCTATTAGATTTCATTTGGAAAGTGACTTAATCTGGTTGTCTTAATTTTCCCATCCACAAAATAAAGAATTATACCCACTCACTGGTATGATTTTCAGTCCAAAAGAATGAAATGAAGTAATGAAGTAAAATAATTAGCATGTGGTAGGTGTCGTTTCCAATTTGCAATTCTCAGTAGCTCTGACATAAATAAAAATAGCAAAACTATTTGCTTTCTTGATCTCTTTGACGCCTATGCTAACAATTTCTGCCCCTTTCCCACAAGAATGAAATAATTTTGAATCCTTTATATCCATGATGTTCCTGTGGTGCACTTTGACTTTCACTGTACTCAGAGTGATGATCTGAAAGAGCATCAGACCATTAACAAAGATGGTTACGAGTCTTTTGACGATCACACTCATGTCTTCTGGAAAATAGTTCCCTATCTTTCAAATTGCATATAATCTCCATTTTCTGATTTTCTAAGAGATCATCTAAACCAGCCCAAGAAACTGAAATCTGGTTTCAGAGTATAAATGAGATAATGTCATCATGGGCTTGCATCCTGTGCCCCGAAAAGGTCCAGCATTTGGCCAGCAGCAGGTGTCCACGCTCTTCTGTTGAGGTAGAGTTTTAAAAATATAAACTTCAATGGTCTTTCTGTTTCTTTAAGGGCAGATGTAATGGGATTTTTATTGGCATTGTAACATTTGGTGTTTTTGTGCTCCCCTTCCTTTATAATAATCCCTTCAGTGTCTTATTCCATTAAATAGACTTAGTTAAACTCAGTACTCTGCGTGCACGTGTGTGTGTGTGTGTGTGTGTGTGTGATGACCGCTATCCTCCAGGGAGAAATGTATGCACAAATTTGACTCTGGCCCAGAGAAATGCCTTTGTGTATGAATGGAATGGTATAGATAATTCCAGTCTTATGAGTGGATATGATTCCAAAGTTCATTTGTTAACTAAGTCAGTAGTTGGGAACTTGGAGCACATTTTCTCATAAAAGAAATGTTCTACATGGTGGAGAGAGACCGGGCCAGCCCACAAGGCCTGTTTAACTCATGCTGCACCTGAAGTGAGATTGTTATTAGCTCTGGGGAACAGTGTTTCCATGGGAACATGTTGTCAGAGCTCCCCAGCTTAAAGGTTGAGAACCACTGACTGTAAAATGTTAACTCACCTCCGAAATCACATCTTCCTTTTTCCTTTAATAAATTACCAAGCAGAGAACTATTCTTACTGCAAATTATTTCTTGAATATATTAGGTTAAAGTAATATTTTTTTCTCTGTTGTTTTATGCACTCTGTAACTTGAGCACAAGGGATGCACATAACGGGAAAGAGTTCCTTCAAGCATTCTCGAGCTTCTTGAAACTTGGGTTCTTGTCACTTCTTGGCTCTCTCTGCATGTTGCACCAATCAGCTAGCCACAGAGAGGCGGCTGTCACTTGCTACGTTTGTTATCACAGCCAAATTGTTTGTTTTTTCCTACCTTATCATTCCCTGCAGTTTTTAAGACTTGCCTTGTAATTTAATAGGAATCTGGAATCATGAAGTAATGCAATATATTCTAGGTCACACTGACCACAGGAATCAGAAGTGTTTCAACTACACCATACACAGATTATGCTAGAAGTTGTATAAATATATCACAGAATCACAGGGCTGGAAAGAACCTTAAAAGATTGTCTAGTCTGTTCCCTGGCTTCCAGACAAGCCAATCATTCCAAACAGATGAGAGCTAACCTCTCTTTTAGAAGAGGAGGAAGACTTTGTCTTTAACCCTTTCTGGATTTAAAAATGTATATACCATTAGTAAATTATTGTTATTTTTAAATCTAACATGCTTCTCTTGACAGTTACAACTCTATTTTACTTTCTCATGTTTGCTTCTCATAGGAAACAAAGTAGGTGCAAAGCCCCAGTTTAAACACCATATTTTGTCCTTTCTCTTCTAGGGCATTCCTGAACATCGCAGTGTCTCATACTGTGGTTACCTTCATCCTGTTCTCTCTGGGTTGTTTGTACCCTTCCAGCAGTGGGCACTAAAATCAAGCTGCAGTGTCTTATGAGACATCTGAGAAGTGGGCATAGTTTCCATGTATAGGAATCTTTAAATATAATCTGATACACAGACCCAAAGACCTAGACTCCAAGGAAAACCAAATTTAATAATTGTAATAAAATTTCAATAACATAGGCTAATTATTTATAGTCACTTTCTTTCAGGCAGTGACAAGGGCATAACCAGCCTGATAGGATGAGCTTTTCGGTCAGCTAAGGAAATGAAAGAGAACCTAGTCCTATTCAAGTTATTCATAAAATGTGATGTCCTTAAATGTCACCAAGTGTATTTTTCTTTCTTTTTTTTTTTTTTTTTAAGATTTTCTTTATTTATTTAATTGCCAGAGAGAGAGACAGCAAGAGAGGGAACACAAGCAGGGGGAGTGGGAAAGGGAGAAGCAGGCTTCCCGCGGAGCAGGGAGCCCGATGTGGGGCTCGATCCCAGGACCCTGGGATCATGACCCAAGCCGAAGGCAGTTGTTTAACCAACTGAGCCACCCAGGCGCCCCAACAAGTGTAATTTTTCTATTGAGAGCCTACTACACAACCTATAAGGGCTGATTTCAAAATATTTTTGTGATTGGAAATGACTATTCAAACTTGATACTCAAGAGAGCCTTTAATGGAAGTTGTCAAAGGAAGGGGCTTTTTGATCTCTATCCTGGAAGACACTGAACATTCTGGCTTTACGGTGAGTATGACTAGTTATGTTACTGTCTTAAAAGAGTCTTACTATCCCCCAAGATAAAAGAGAAAGACAGGCTATCATAAATTGATAATGAGATTCCTTCTGTTTGGGAGGTTTTGAATGCCTCAAAGGTGAGGATTATGTCAGAAAGAAGTGGACATGGGTAAAAATTTCCCTAACTATGGTTTCAATCTGATAGTAAACCCTGTGCCTTGTTTATTCCCCAAATTTCTATACTCATTGGGTGGTGTGGTGGTTAATTTTATGTGTCAGCTTGAGTATCAAGGGGTACCTAGATTAAATAATATTTCTGGGTGTGTCTGTGAGTGTGTTTCCAGATGAGATTGGCATTTGAATCAGTGGACTTAGTAAAGTAGACCACCCTACCCAGTGTGGGTGGGCATCGTCCAATCCCTTGAAGTCCTGAATAGAAACATATGCAGAGGAAGAAGGAATTCTCCCCTTTTTTCCTGCCTCACTGGTTAAGCTGGGATATCACATCTTACCTTCTCCTCCCCTTGCATTGGGATTTACATCATTGACTGCCCTGGTTCTCACGCCTTCATATTTGGACTGACTGAATTACACCAGTGGCTTTCTTGGGTCTCCAGCTGGTCGATGGCAGACTATGGGACTTACTGGCCTCCATTATTGCATGAGCCAACTCCTCATAGTAACTCCCTTTTTATCTATCTACTTTATCTATCTATCATCTATCTATTGATATAGGTATCTCCATCCTACTGGTTCTGTTGTCTGAAGAACTCTGATTTATGCTGGTGGCTATCCATTCTAAGTATCTAAGGGGACAAAAGCATCTTGTTAAGACCAAGCTAACAAACCTGACCCTGTAAAATAACCGTGAGAGCCCTGAGCCTAACTTTTGTACATAAGCAAAGCACCTCAATGGAGACTGTTGACCCTGCTTCTGTAGACACTTACAGAGTAAAATCTGTCTTCATAGCTTCCTGGCAGACGACAGCACCCCGAGCCCACTGCCAGCATGTTCACTGGTATGGCTCGGCCACACTGAGGCAGAATTCTTCCTGGGAAATGGGGTAATTCAAGACCCCCTGAGCTCACCCCTAGCAAGAAGCTCATGCTCCTATCAACCAATCAGATTCCTGGCCCAGAGAGAACTTTCTCTTTATTATAACCACAAAGACTTAGGGCAATTGTGGAAAAAAAAGCAGAAAAAGAAATATTAAAATAGTTTTCTTATTTTCGTTGTCAGGATGTCAGCCTTATTTGTAGCTCAGTGGTGTAATTATTTAAGAATCATGCACTGTTAATTTTAGCTAAATAGACAATGATGAGTGCACCCCATCCTTCATCCATCTTAATAAACATATCCCTTCAGGGAAACTCCCTGTCTAAAGACTTCCTTCAGAACCTTTAACTTAAATTTCCTTCCATACTCTGGCAAAAATACAGTATGACATTTCAACTCCGGGATTCATTTGTTAGGTGTTTGAGGGGTGTCTTGTAAGACACCCACTAATTACACAAATGAATTGACACAAAAGTACAATCTAACCATGGGCAAAGACAACTTACTTGTTCATTTTTAGTAAGCCTGGTTTTGTTGTGAATGTCTGACGTGACCAAATTGAATCCGTGCTTTTCCGACAAGATTCTCAGAAGCAAGACCACAGTGCGACTCCCACACTTGCCTACTCTGTTGTACACCACCTGGCTGGGGAAAGGTAGCACCTGGGAAAGAACGAGAGAGCAAATATGAGACTTTGGGTTAGAGTAACTGGGATTCTTCCCTCAACTTCAGAACAACAAATGTCTAATCAGTCTAAATGAGAAGGGTCCATGACAAGTCAATGGGAGAACAGAAGCAATGAACTCATGTTCTACTTTCATAATTTAACTTGAGAGAAATCCTGGACTCGTTATCTCTCTCTCTCTGCACTTAAAACTGGTAAAATTTCAGGTCAACCATGAGACTAATTATGAAGCTGCTTTTGTTTCTTCTTAGGAACAAAATATATAAATATGTGCTTTGATGACAATATGCTTTTGCAAGTTATATTATGCTTTATTAGAACTCAGCTTGTAGAGTGGTCACGGAAAAAATATAGTAACTAAAAATTGAGACATAAATAAAAACTCACAATAAAACTCGCCCTTTTACAGTGTACAATTCAGTGGTTTTAATGTATTCACAAATTGTGCAACCATCACCTCTATCTAATTGCAGAACATTTTCATTACCCCTGAAAGAAACTTGATACCCATTAGCACTCACTTTTCATTTCCCTCACTACGTTGGTCCCATGAAACCACTTATCTACTTTCTGTCTCTATGGTTTTCGCCTATAGCATTCCGGACATCTCTTATAAATAATATCATATAATATGTGACCTTTTGTGTCTGGCTTCTTTCAGTTAGCATAATGTGTTCAAGATTCATCCATATTGTAGTATGAATCCGTACTTCACTACTTTATATGGCCGAATAATATCACATTGTATGGATATACCATATTTTGTTTATACATTCATGAGTTGATGGACATTTGGATTGTTTCCAATTTTTGGCTACTCTGAATAATGCTGCAATGAACATTTGTGCATAAGTTTTTGTGTGGACATATGTTTTTGAATCACCTGTATATATCCTAGGAGTGGAAGTGCTGGATCATATGGTAATTCTGTTTAATTTTTTGAAGAACTGCCAAACTGTTTTCAATGCAGCTGCACCATTTTATATTTCCACCAGCAGTTCATGGGAGTTCCAATTTCTCCACATCCTTGCCAACACTTGTTATTGCCCGTTTTTTTTTTTATAGCCATCCTAATGGATGTGAAGTGGTATCTCATTGTTTTGATTTGCATTTCCCTGATGACTAATGATGTTGAGCATATTTCATGTACTTATTGGACATTTGTATATTTTTTTTGGAGAAATGTCTGTTCAAATCTTTTGCCCATTTTAAAACTGGATTATTTGTCTCTTTATTATTGAGTTTTAAAAGTGCTATATTTATTCCGGATTTGTGAATATATGATCTGCAAATATTTTTTCCCATTCTACACATTTTCTTTTCATTTTCTTGACTGTGTCCTTTGAAGTACAAAAGTGTTTAATTTTGATGAAGTTTAATTTATCTAATTTTTCTTCAGGGTGTTATGTTTTTGGTATTACATCTAAGAAACCATTGCCTAACCCATGAATGTTTTCTCCTAAGAGTTTTATAGTTTTAGTGGAAACATTTAGGTCTGATTCATTTTGAGTTAATTTTGTGTATGATGTGAGCTAGTGATCTAACTTCATTCTTTTGCATGTGAATAACCATTTGTTCTAGCACCATTTATTGAAGACTATTCTTACTCCATTTAATTGTTTGGCACCCTGTTGAAAATCCACTAACCATAAATGTATGAGTTTATTTCTCTCAATTCTACCCTACTGAGCTATGTGTTTATTCTTATGCCAGTACCACAGAGTCTTGATTACTTGTGTTTTGTTGTAAGTTTTGAAATTGAAAAGGGTGAATTTCTCCAAACTTTGTTCCTTTTCAAGATTGTTTTGGCTATTCTGGATCCCTTGCATCCCATATGAATTTTAGAACCAGCCTGTCAATTTCTGTAAAAAAAGGCAGTTGAAATTTGGATAGGGATTGTGCTGAAACTGTAGATCAATCTGGGGACTAGTGCTGTCTTAATAATGTTAAGTTTTCTAATCCATGAACATGGGATGTCTTTCCACTTATTTAGGTCTCATTTCATTTGTTTCATGATTTTTTGTAGTTTTCAGTATACAAGCCTCACTCCTTTTACTCTTTTTGATGCTATTTTAAATGGAATTGTTCTCTTAATTTCATTTTTGGATTGATTGTTCACTGATAGAAACAGTTTATTTTTGTATATTGATCCTGTGTTCTTCAGTCTTGCTGAACTCATTTATTAGCTCTTAATAGCTTTTTTTGTGTGGATTCTTTAGGAACTTCTATATACAAGATCATGTCATCTGCAGAGATAGTTTTACTTCTTCCTTCCCAATATGGATGCCCTTTCTTTCTTTTTCTTTTCTAATTGTCCAGTTTATAATGATTTTGATAGACTAAGAAGCCATTATGAAAAGCATCTGATTAAATATTTATATCCCCAATAAAGAAAATATTTCCATCTTGAATGCTTAGAACTGAGTAACAATTGACAAAAGACCATCAAGAGTCCTTCATTCAGAACATACCCTATAACAGAAGGCCATAAAAAGGCCCAAAGCTATAGCACAATATAAACATAAATATACCCCTAACTTGCCTACTGTATGTAATATGAATTTCGCCTTTGTAATTACAGGTTTACTTATTTTTCTGAAATATTTTATATGCAAAGTAGCATTTCATAAGTTTGGAACTTAAAGGCTACTTGCCATTGGAGTCAAACCTAATATCTGTATCACTCACTTAGCAACTATATCATGTACCATTTTGATATAATTTTTCAGTATATATATATATTTTTTAATGAGCAATACGTTGGTTTTTTTTAGGACCAGTCAGTATCTTCTATTGTGTGTCCTCATACTGCCTAGAACATGCTATATACATATATATAGGGCCTCAACAAACATTGATTGGTTGGCTGCAATGAGGGATTTAATGTGATGCTTAACAGTAATTAACACAATGATTCTGCTAAAATGTGAGACCAGGAGAATCTTCAAATACAGCTGATCTTTCTAACCGAATGGTAATAAAAGACATAAAAAGGGTAAAAAGATAATCATTATAATAGGTCATTTTACTTCTGGTCTTATCAGTGAGTACCCAAAAAGTGTGATCACTGGCAACAGCTGCAGAAGTTCAGATATTCAGATAAATCATATATGGTCTTCCTCATGAGGTTATGATCCAGGGAGGCTTTAATATAATAGGATAGTAACAGTGTTTGTAAGTTGGTCTTTCCATAATAACCAGGCTGGGGGATAGACTATAATTGTGACAGAGCCACCAATATAAACACAAATTTTCATTTCTTTGAAGAAATAAAATGCTTAAGAATTGGGATGAATGCATTTCTCCTTGTCTTCTAACACAGCATAGTACAGCAAGGGAGAGTTGTTTGTTACAACTGAATTGCTGACCAAGAAGATGTGAGTTACCACATATGCAAGTGCTTTATTCCAAGAGTACAGGTGTAGCTTAGAAGATTTAAATGAAGAACTGAGGCACTTAGTTACAAACCTTCAGTGAAAACACTTAATGTCTCCTGAAATTCTTGAGTAATTAACACAATAGCAGGCTTTTCATCTATTTCCTTTTGCTAATAACTAAAGATATTATCTACCTTTCCGTGGTTAGTTAGTTCAAAAAAAAAATGTTCATGGGGTGCCAATCAGTTAAGCATCTGCCTTCAGCTCAGGTCATGATCTCAGGATCCTGGGATCGAGCCCCAAGTTGGGCTCCCTGCTCAGCGGGGAGTCTGCTTCTCCCTCTCCCTCTATCCCTCCCCCCTGCTCACGCTAGCTCTCTCTCTCAAATTAATAAATTCAAAAAAATCTTAAAAAAATGTTCATTCCAATTCTTTCATTAGTCTTGCGGGAGGCTACCAAATAACAGTATTAAGTATTTGTTATTTAAGAAGAACACTTTTGTCATGACGAGAAAAAAATGTTTTAACTATGTATGGTGACAGATTTAACTACACTTACTGCGGTGATCATTTTGCAATGTATACAGATATCAAATCATTATGCTGTATACCTGAAACTAATATAATATGTCAATCAGACCTTGGTTTTTTAAAAAAAAGAACACTTACATAAAACCAAAAATCCTTGCATTATTCCCACAACTGTATCTACAGTAACATTTGAAAAGAAAAGAGAGCTTAACATCCCCACTGTGACTATTTTGACCATTTCTTCAAACACCACTAGACAGCTACAGGGTATGAAAATCGAGCTAGAAAATGTGTTTTTGGATGAAGCTGGGATCAGTCTGGTGATTGTTAAAGACACAACATATACTATCACAAACATAAACCTTTCTCAAAGTTAGGATGGGGCTTTTAAATCATTTTCTAAAAGTACCTATGTAATTCTCTGGAAACTGGCAAACTTAGGCAGGCTAAATCAATGTGTTGATGTTGGATAAGGTGTTAAAATTAGCAACAGCAACAAGTTGATTCATCTCCGCTTTGGTAGAGCTATACATCAGCTGCTGAAGGTCTGCTTTAAAAATCATTGTCGGTTTTTATTTGAAGTGTTCTTTCTGGAAAAGAGGGGGAAAAAGGAACTGATTTTTATGAAAGGCTGACCTTGACCCTGTCCTAGGCTCTGTGCCATGTAAAAGTTTTTAATCCTTGTTACCAATACTGATTTGAATAGGGTGTCTTCCTTCTAGCTGTGCATTTCTCTAGGAGGTTAAATTATCAAATAATTTAAGCATCATTAATTGCACCTAAGTGACTCCCCCATGGGCCCCCTTCTTCTCCATAGACGACAGACTCACAGAACAACAGAGTTTGAGGTCTAGAACAATTTAGAATAATCCACCCACTCCAATCCCCTCCCCACCCCAGCACCATCACCCTCACTCCCAGCCCAATTGTGTTTGGCTTGGCTGGAGTTTTCTCTTATGTTGTGTTTTCATCCTTTCGAGTACCCTGTGAGGGAGATATCATGACTATTTTTAGGTGAACAAACCAAGGCTCAGAGAGATCATTTGGCATTTTCAAGGTCGAAAAGTGGC